GAGGAGGGACTTACATGTGAGCATGAAAACCAGATTGAGCGTGTCTGAATTCAGATAGAGGTGGTCTGGGGAGTGTTGGTAAATGGGGTTAGCATAGAAAGGAAGAGAGAAGCTTGAGTGGGTATTGGCAAGAAGAGGGTGTGTGTGTGTGTGTGTGTGTGTGTGTGTGTGTGTGTGTGTGTGTGTTAAGGAGAGAGCATAACCATGTGTGGTTGAAGACTGTCAGGAAAGATCCAGTGGTAAGAGATTGGCTGAAGCTGAAAAGACAGGGAAGCTGAGAGAGGAGAAAAAGTTAAATGATGCTGTGATCTTCCAATGTGTACTTAAAAATATATATATATATAAAGTTATTTAATATTAACTTCTGTTGTCCTAAAAGCAATGTCAACACAGTCTTTTTTAGTTATTATTAAATAATTTTTGGAAGCTGCACTTTAACTCTGTGAAGCCTAGGAGTCCAAATACTAGTATTTTAGCCCCAACTCTGGCACTAACTTGCTCTATTATTGGAGGTTCAGTTTCCTTACCCATAAAATGGGTATAATCATAACTTTTCAAGTGCTATTTTTGGAGATAAAGTAAAAATAATGTGTTTTGCAAACTGTATATTTAAAATAAATAAATACAAACGAAGCAAAATATTAATAACATGTACAACCTACTGTAAATGTTATTTAAAGCTACCCAGTTTAAATAATAATCCTGGAGCTATCACCTTGGCTTCAGAGAATGTGCCCCACCCACTGAGCATGGTATGCCCCAGTGCCTCCATCAATAGTTCAGACAACTTGGGATCATAGACCTCTCTGGCAGGTAGCGTCTAAAGACTAATGATGTGGGGGTGCCTGGGTGGCTCAGTGGGTTAAAGCCTCTGCCTTCAGCTCAGGTCATGATCTCAAGGTCCTGGGATCGAGCCCCGCATTGGGCTCTCTGCTCAGTGGGGAGCCTGCTTCCTCCTCTCTCTCTCCCTGCCTCTCTGCCTACTTGTGTTCTAAAAAAAAAAAAAAAAAAAAAAAAAAAAGACTAATGATGTGGAAGAGTTCGTTTAAATCTTTTGGATAAAAAAGATGTAAATCCAAGGTTGTAATGAACACTTTTCTTTCCACAGTGTTCTTAGTGTCCGTTGAGATTTTTCAGAGCATAAAAAGAATGAAATCTTGCCATTTGCAATGACATGGATGGAGCTAGAGAGGATAATGCTAAGCAAAATAGGTCAGAGAAAGACAAATACTCTGTGATTTCACTCAGATATGGAATTTGAGAAACGAAACAAAGGAGCAAAGTGAAAAAAGAGTGAGGCAAACCAAGAAGCTGACTCTTAACTATAGAGAACTAACTGATGGTTTCCAAAGGGGAGGTGGGTGGGGGGATGGGTTAAGCGGGCAATGCAGGTTAAGGAGAGCACTTGCTATGATGAGCTCCAGGCATAGTCTGGAAGTATGGAATCACTATATTGTACATTTGGAAATAGCATTACACTGTATGTTAACTAACTGGAATTTAAATAAAAACTTGTAAAGAGAGAAGGGAAAGAAGATAATTATGAAATAGCATTCATTTGTTTATTTTTTGGTGTTAATATTTTATCATTTCTTTTTGGATATAGAAATGTATGCAAAGAAAGGTGAGTCTCCTAAAGATTAATGACTGAATCAGAAGGGTTTTTGTTCTTTGTCTTTTTTTTAACAGCCCCAATTGTGGACCTCTGTTATCACACTTCTCTCTTTTATTACTCCAACAACCACTTTGCTAAGGAGTTAAGCCACCAGAAAACTATTGGAGAATTATTTTGTCTATATGTTTCATGCTATATGACCACAGGGAAAAGGCTGGAGCCAAAAAAAATCACTAAACTTAATAGCCTGTTTACTAACAGAAGCTCTCAAATGTTTATTTCCTTCTGTAGTTACAGATGCAGTGATGAGATCTCTACCTGTGGCAATTCCTGTCATCGACCCTCATTAATATGTTGTTTAAAAAAAAAAAACAAAAAAACCATGACAGAACTTCCCCAGGCCCATAACAACAGTTTGACCTTGACATATCACTTCATCTCTTGAAACTTCTGAATCCCCAGCTTTTAAATAAAGGCAGTAGGGGGAGTCTAGTTGATTCTAAACTGAGGGGCGGTTGTAAGTAAATACGAGCATTTGTTTTAGTGGCCAGTGCCCAGCAATGCTAAAAGCCCTGCAGAGATCATGGGGCAATCCTGCCTAATACACTGCCCCATCCAAAATGCCAGCAGCACCTGAATTAGTCCTAATGTCTTTCCTACAGTCAGTGATACCAAGTCAAGTACCTGTCCATTCATTAATTCATTCAGCCACCCATTATTGACCCCCCACTGTATGCTGGGCACCAAGCTTCCCTAGCTGAATATTCCAGAAACCCAGGCTTGAACTGTATACTTCTTTATCCTTTCCCCTTCCTTTTAAAGGTATTCCCCATCCATAGGACCAACGGCCATGTACAAATAAGGATTTTTTAGTTCAACCCATTAAAGGAATAGATCCCAGGACTCGTCCAGCTCTTTGGGGTTTCTGATGACATTGAGAACCAAAAACGCTCACTCAGTCCTCCCCAAAGTTTGAATGATGGCCTGGTTAGCCTTTCATAATTCAGGAACAGAAGCCCTCAGCTCCACTGACCAAGGGCTTCCAGCTGGACAATGAAATCCAAATTGTGGAGCCTGTAGCTAAATATTTCAACTATTGATTCAATCATTTCTAATTTTTAAAACAAGACACACCAACTGTTTTTGTTGTTGTTGTTGTTGTTTTGTCCAGTGAATAATTTTTACTAGCAAACTCAAATTTCCTAATATACTTCAATGGCATTTGAAGCCTGTTGTACTAACTGCCTTAGAGCGTTTTAGCCTATCAAGTAGGATCATTAACTTGCTAATTAACTGTGCAGTGAGCAACCCTGTGCTATCCTGCAATACTAGCAGCCCCCACCCCCCAATACAGAGTCCCTCAGGGGAGTGCTGTGACCTATAGACTCAGACCCCAGGCAACAGGCTATTACTCAGCATTCACTGGGCCCTTCATCACCTATTGTCTCACAGCACCCTGGGGTGGGGGGCAGGGCAAGGGAAAGCTTACAATTCTGATTGCTTGTGTTGCAAAGGAGACCAAGGCACAAAGAAGCCTGAGAGTCTGCCAATCCCAAAAACCTTTTGTGAAGGAGGGGATTCTGAGGGCTGTTTATGGTCCCCAAAGTCATGCTGATGGGCAGGCATGCTTTGCAAATATACAAATATTTTTCATCCTTTAATGCATCTTGGATGTTATTGATCATTAAAAATCCTGTATGTACTTGTTCAGTCACTATCATTGGGATACTTCTCATGAACACAGCAGGGTCTGGGTACTGAGAATGTAGTCTGCTCTCATAGACCTCTGGACACATAAGGAAGTCAGACATCATGCCAATAATTCTGTACTCATTACGTATTGTTGCAATCAACACTATAAAGGACACAGGACACAAGGAAAGCATGGATGGACCTGACCTGGCCTGGGAACCCACAAGGCTTCCTTGAGAAGGCAGTATATAAGTGCAGGCCTGAAGGAAAAGGAGGCAGGAGTTCTGGAATTCAGATGGGGCATTCCAGATGGAGGGGGATGCATAATTAAAGACCCTGAGGCAGGACAGAAAGGCTTATTCCAGGTAAGATAGGATGCCAGCTTAGTCCAGGTGGCAAAAATGGGAGAGAGTGGCATGAATGCACTTGAGATGTTTAGAAGATGGAATTGGCAGCACTTGGTAACTGACAGGATATAGGCAGGAAGAGTGGAGGAGTACAGGGATCACTGCCCTGCATTCGACTTGGGGTGCTGAAGTCACTTGTTTAGGATTCTAGCAGAGGAGTGGGACTGGGTGGTGGGACAGAATCACCAGTTTCTCATTTGGTACATGGACTTGGAAGTCCTGTGGGATGTAGTTTGTCTAGTGGAGATCCTGCCTTGCTGGAGTATCCAAAGACACTGTGTTTTACTAGGATGTAGTAGAAACAACCTGCCCCGGGGGGGGGCCCAGACCATGTGTTTGGAAGCACGATTACAGACCAGCATTGAGACCCTTGTAATTTATAAAATGTTTTCTCATGTTTTATGTCTAAGCTTCTCGGTCCATTCTGGAGGAAGTCAGTGAGTTATTCTCTTCATTATACTAGCAGGAAATTGAGGCTTCCTGAGTTTGTGATTTGCCTGAGTTCACGCTACTTTAAGGAAGGATATGATACTCAAATTCAAATCTCTGGACTCCAGTCGCAACGGTCTCCTCATTTCACCACATTAACTTGCTCCATGATTAGGGCAACTCTCTACCAACTCCTGGGGCTTCCATATCAGATGGAATCTCACTATTAGCACAAAATATGTAAGAAATGAAATAAAAATTTTTTTCTATACACTTTATTCCTCCCCCCCTCTCTTTACTCTGTTTTACAACAGAATTTTTAAAGTATTGTGAACTCGAGAGTCATTTTGTGTTTGTATTTAGAGCAAATATGTTTACAAGTAGTAAGGAGACAGTTATCTGGGAGAAAATTAAGTTCAACTTTTGTCTAAATTCTAATAATTTATAAAACATGGTAAGACCTCTGCCTCTTCACCTCCCATCCCAATTTACTCCTAAAATAGTGGAACCATCTAAAACAGCTCCGCGTGTTCTCCCCTCATGTGAGGTGTTCTGGGGGAGTCTGGGCACCAAGAAAGATGGGAGGCAGACCTGCCCCCACCTAGTCGGAGCAGGACACTGTTCACCACCATCCTGTCTTATCCATTGGCCTTCTGCCCTTTCCCTCACAGCTTGGGAGATGTTTAAGTAGTTTGTGCTTTTTTCAGAGTCTGTTTAACTGAATCAGTTCTGGGTCTACACAGACACTCAGGTTCAGGGGAAATACCTTCTCTACAGGGCTGAGTTATTTTTCTTTATTATATGGGAAACTTCCTCCTGAACGTCCTGTTGTTGCTAACCTCACTCCTTCCCTATAGCTCTTGGACTGCTTTGTGATCCCGGTGGTGATTTTGCTCTCCTGGTTCTTCCTGCTGATTCGGTACAAGGCTGTGCATTTCCTCGGCATCGTGGTCTGCATCCTGGGAATGGGCTGCATGGCAGGAGCGGATGTCCTTGTGGGAAGGCATCAGGGAGCAGGTGAGTCCCTAGGTGTTCGCCCCATTATGTACCCATATGTGTGAGGCCAAGACAAGATGTGGAATGTTCATGGTAGGGTAGGAACAAGGAAGCTGGGTTCCCAGTATCTGTGTCTGAGTCATGTTTGTTCCTCAACACCTTGAATATGGCATGTGGGAGGTGCTTAATCCATGTTTCATGAGTAAATGAAAGAGGCAAAATACAAATTTTCTGCTCTTTCTGAATATATTCAGAAACATTCAGATGGTATATAAAATTGGGGATTAGGACCCATTTGGAGGCTATTTTGGAAGGTCATTACTGCCTGGCCCAAACCAGCTGGTTAAACATGGTGTTGGTGGTCCTCTCTTGAAGTGCAGGGGCCTGCCCCAGCCCGACCCTCCAACTCTTTCTTTCTCAAGTCAAGGAAAGACTGAGTTCTCAAACCACTGGATGAAGGTTGGTAAATAATCTAAGAGTGGATATTTGAAGTTTGAAGACTAGATTGGGAATATGTAATACTTTTATGGAGGGGGAGATAAATTTAGTCTCCTTGTGCATGATTTTTTTGTTTGTTTATTTTTTTTGGTAGGAAGGATTTGTGGTTATCAATCACAGCTTGTAGACCTGTAAGGTAAAGCTTCAAGATTCACTCATCAAATTGCTATAAATCTGATGGGGATCCTGATTCAGGATGGTGAGGATGCTTTCCAGAGGAACCTTTTTTAAGCCTTGCAGTTCTTTAAAATGTACAAAAATTCTTATGCTACATAAGGTTTTGGAGAACAGGAAAGAAAAAAATGACCTCCTTTGTTAATATCAAGAATAGGATAGAAAGTATTCCCATTTCTATAGTTCTTGGACTTGTCCTTCCTTCTAGGGAATTAGATGATAATCAAAATTGGGATGTTTGTCATAATGAACCTAGGTTGTATGAAGTGCCTAGGTTGTAGGAAGTATAGGAAATAAATACATTTTATCTTTTTAAGTTGCATCATAGAACATTGTAGCTGAAACAGACCCTGTTCAGCAACTTCTTGTGACCCACAAGAACACTAAGATACAGGGAAGCCAAGTTCCCAAGGTCACAGAGCTACCAGAGCCGGTCTAGAATAGAACCCAAGGCTCTTGAACTCTGGGGGAGGCTTCCTTCCCTCTTTCACATCTCTGGGAGCTAAAGATACAACATGGAGTAAAAGAGAGAAAGCCTTGGGGTCCTCACAAACCCACTGCCTATCCAACATAATCAACCCTACCTTAACAGATGGGCTAAAATAAACACACCAGCTTCTCCCAGATTCTTTTCTATGAAACACTGGTTCATGGGATATCAATAGATATCGAATGAAAGGGCCAGTTTTACGCTCTATGCCCATGTGATCCTGATATGGATAATCTCTTTGGAAAAATCAGATAGTTTTTTTTGTCTGATATAATGTGACTAGTGGTTCTAAGGTTATAATTTAATTACACTTTCTCTGCTTTACTGGAAGGACAGAAACATAGACTAAGCAGAAGCATGTGGCCTTATTTATGAAAATTCTGCTTTGCTGAACCTTAGCCATTGGACCACCTTCTGTCATCTTCATTTCCTGGTCAAGGAAGACAATTGCCCTGACAGTCTGCATGTTCAAAGCCCAGAATGTTAAGCTAAATTGAATTGATTTCACTAGACTGTATTCACTACTCCTAGGGACAAAAAAATGTCTTCTTGATTTCAAACGCAGTATTAGGAGAGGAGTGATACTATTAAAGAAAAGAAAGTAAGTCCATTTGAGGGTCTTCCAAAAGAAGTAATTTTTTTTTTTTTTTTAAAGATTTTATTTATTTATTTAACAGACAGAGATCACAGGCAGGCAGAGAGGCAGGCAGAGAGAGGAAGGGAAGCAGGCTCCCTGCTGAGCAGAGAGCCCGATGTGGGGCTCGATCCCAGGACTCTGGGATCATGACCTGAGCCGAAGGCAGAGGCTTTAACCCGCTGAGCCACCCAGGCGCCCCAAAAGAAGTAATTTTTAAAAAACAATGCAGAGTAGCTCAAACACACTGGAGCGGGTTTTATCTGTTTAAGACTCACAGCACCCTCCTTTTTGTGATATGTGAAGTCTTCGTGTTAACGATGAAAATTTATCATCACAGAGTACCTTCAGTGCTAAAGGAATGGTGCCCAAGTACATGGTATGGTGTTCTAAAGGCAGCCCAAATAGAGGAACCAAGGGCTTATTTTATAAAATAAATTAGACAAAATAAATTAGACAGCAATTTAAGCTGTCACGCAAAATGTTTTGGAAAAAGAAAAAAAAAAACCAGTCTGGTTTTAAGGACAATTTAATATTAACATTGGCGTGCATCACTATGCAAAATAGTCCATTTGTTTTCACCTTGACAGTAGAATTGGCTCAGTGTTATTACTCACCAGGGACAGAAATTTTTTGAAATACTCCAGTCACTCATCAGAACCTCAGTCAGGCATTCAACTCAATATAAATCGTCATCCCCCAATCAAGAGCTTTTCATAGGAAAAGAGACTGACTTCATCCTTTTTTTATTGCTCGTTCCACAGTTCACCTTAGCTTGGGATTTTGAAAATTCTCTCCTCAAGCACAGGGATAACGGCCTGTTCAAAGTTCCTCTGACTTCATTATAATTTAAGTAATTGCTCTCATTCTTCTTGTTAGGATGTTTCTTCCTCATTTTGATTTAAGCCTCGCTAAAGGAAATGTCACAGATGGCAGCGGGCTCAAAATGTCCATATCAGGAAGCATGCTTCTGAGGAAGCTTTGCCAGCAGCTTTGCCCACCACAGACAGAAGTGGAGAGAAGGCACCCACAGTCTGTGGCCCTAGGAGGTTCTGCCTCAGTGCCTGGGGAGTGTGCTGTACAAGTGGGAGGGGAAGGGAAGAAAGTCCTAAGACTAAGATGAAACTCAATTAAAACAGCTCCTTGTGATAAATATATTTCTTGCTTTCCACTATTATCATATTTCGACTATAATACTTTTACTGCATCTTTTAGTTCATTTATTAAAGATGTTAGATACATATAATGACATTTTTTTCTTATTATTAAACATAGTTTTGTAGTTATTTCAAGGAAGAGAAAACATTTCCAAGGAGGAACATTTTAATTAAATCAGAAACAAAGAGTGACCATTTTTTTGGTGCAAGTCACTTTCCCATGCATTATCTCATTTAATTCTCCTAAATATGCAAAGAAAGTTTTCTTAGTCTCACTTTTTTTTTTTTTTTTTTTTTTACTTACTTGACAGACAGAGATCACAAGTAGGCTGAGAGGCAGGCAGAGAGATAGAGAGGAGGAAGCAGCCTCCCGCTGAGCAGAGAACCAGATGTGGGGCTTGATCCCAGGACCCTGGGATCATGACCTGAGCGGAAGTCTTAGTCTCACTTTTGCAGCTGAAGAAATCAAGGCTAATGGAGATGAGAAGGGCACACCAGTACTAAATGGTGTGGCTTAGATGTGAATCTAGCCAGTATTTTTTCTGCTACAGCACTTGTACTTATTTCTCTATAATCATGACCCTTATAAGAAATGTACAGCTGTTCTATTGCAGTGAATTAGGAGAAATGACTGTCTCGGGTTGCTCAGTATGATAGAGTTTCCTGAGTTGAGGGAATTTGATACTAAAACCGAGAATACCAGAAAAACAAGGCAGTTGGTCACATTTAAAACTTAAAAATATTCAGTGGGATGGGTTCATTTTCATAAATTATGTGAATAATCTTTCAACACTCCAGAATAGTCTAATTCACCATTTATTTCTCCATCTGGTGGTTAAGTGTGGTTTTCCCAGGAGGCTGACTCCAGCAAGCTCTCCCACCTTTCAGTGTCTCTTCTCTCTGTGATCCTTACCAGGAGTGGAAATTGGCCTCAGGAAAAGTGACACCGTTAAGAGTACAGTTGACCTTTGAACAGCATGCATTTGAAATGCAAGGGCCCATTTGTACATGGATTTTTTTTTCAATAAATACAGTACGGCACTGTAAATGTATTTTCTCCTCCTTTTGATTTTCTTAACATTTTCTTTTCTTCAGCTTATTTTATTGTAAGAATACAGTATATATTACATATACAAAATATGTGTTAATTGTTTATATTATTGGTAAGTCCGTAGGCTTATTATTGGTCAACAGTAGGCTATTAGTCTTTAAGTCTTTGGGAGGTCAACATTTATATGCAGATTTTTGACCATGGGTTTGGGGGGTGGTGGTCAGCACTCGTATCCCCTGCATTGTTCAAGGGGAGCCTGTAAATATAGACTCCCCCAATGTCACTGCAGAGGCATGAATGAAGAGGTCTTTCCCCAAGCCCAGCTCAGATTCTTTTATGTGAAGTCATTGCTTAGAGAATGCTCAATGATCCCAAATGAACACTGAAAACCTTCTATGGTTTTAGTTGTTCCAGCCAACCTGGGAATCCAAGGTTACCCTGAGGTGTGAGCCCCTTCCCTAGAATCATGCTGGAGAGAGCACCCTTCCCATCTGGCCTCTCTTGTGCCTCACAGCTTCATGTCTGCCATGCTCCCATGCGCTGAGCTGTACAGGAGGACAGAGCTGGAGACTACTTGAGTACAAGCCTTCATGGACTGCTAAAGTCCACTCTTCCTTCCTGGCTTCACACTTCCTAGAGTAGAATTTGCCTAATGATAAGAAATAGTGGGGTGCAGCACTTATTAAAAATTGGCCAAACTTAAACCAACCAAAACTGGTTTTAAAACAAATAGACATTTTTTATGAAAATATAAGAAAATATTAATGTAATAGTAAATTACCTATATTTTCACTCTTGCATTACTTACTTTAGGGGAGTTGGAAGTTTCAACTCATAATCTCTTTCACTCCTATTTTCTAAGCAAGGACATATGTTGCCCACAGTCAAAATAAAGAGTCCCGACTACTTCTGTTACAGCTTCTTTCCCTGTAGAGCAGAGGGTGAAAATTCAGACTAGCTCTGTTTGTGCTACACCATGTTCACTAAACTGTTGGAAAGCACCCTGCAGCAAATATAACATGTACATGTATTAGCATATATTCCTAGACATATATATAGACAGTAGACACGGGGCTTTGTAGAGATGGTGCATCCTAGAAGCAACTGGTCGCTTTTTTGGGTAAAAGAAGACTTCTGGTTGGGCAGACATAGGCAAGATTTTTATACCAGAACCTATCTGGAGCGCAGATAAACACACTTTACTAGATCTCAGTTGGCAAATTACCGGACTTTTGTAAAAACATTGGAATAGAATAGACAAAGGAAGTTCAATTTTCTGGTGCCAGATTCTCATTAAGAAAATTTTAATGAAGCTGCATTTGTGTTTTTGATTTCTAGGAGAAAATAAGCTGGTAGGGGACCTTCTGGTCTTAGGAGGAGCCACGTTATACGGTATTTCCAACGTCTGGGAAGAATACATCATCCGAACCCTGAGTCGAGTGGAATTTCTGGGGATGATTGGACTCTTTGGGGCTTTTTTCAGCGGAATTCAATTGTGAGTAAAAATGATAAGAAATTCAGACAGTAGATACTCTTAGGGCTTATTCTAATTATTTTCATTTAGGGTACGGTTTGTCACTTTATTTTATAAAAATCAAGACTGGAAGACTTTCACCAACCTCCTCCATGAAATCTGAAAACTCAGAATCTTTCTTAGTAAACTTCTTCAAAACTAAAGAAGTTTATTATCAATTATTAGAAAACCACTTAGTGGACTCTGAACACAATTTACAAGAAAGCAGTAGAAGTATACTGATTCTCCCAAACCAGCCAGTGGTTTCACTTAGAGAAGTAGAATAGCAAAGCATAAATGCCATGATTGGATGCACTTCTGAAGAGGGACACCTGTTTACTAGTGACAACAACTACTAGAAAGCTCACAGTGTAAGTTTGTCCTTTCACAAGTTCATTCTTTTATTGCCCAAGGATTTGCCTGAAGGAACCATATTTCAAATTCATCTCTTAGAAGTTTGGTGTTCTCTTGTCCTTAAACATATGGAGATGAAACACAGACATTCATCAAGCATCTGAAAGTCAAAAACACCCCACCTGCCTTGACATATATGTGTTATCACAGACTAGTGCCTCAGAATCATTGTGAGAATAAGTGTCAAACAAAGCACACTTTTCCATCAAGAAAGACCGTATGTTTTAGTTTCACGTAATGGGTGGAGATTGATAGTACAGCCCGCAGTCTAATTTCACCAAATCCTTTTTTACGAAACGAATAATTCTGATTTCACCAAATCCCTTTCTACAACGCAAGTGCCTTGTAATTGTATCAATTCAGTATCTGAAATTATTTATGGAAGATATTTTGGCATTGCCTTAAACATGTTTTGCCAATAGGCTGTTTCCAAGAATCCTCCAAATCTTCGTATCCCAAGACATGGGGGGAAAACTCCATAGCAAACAGGGCACGAAGATGGGGAGGGTCTCTGAAAAGGATTTATTTTTGATTCATTTTGAAAGTGGGATGGCATTTTTAAAGCTCCTAAATTTGGTGCTTCAACTTTGTGAGAGGAAAAGAGATTGCCCTGTTCAACAATTCATAACCAACATTTTGTAGATAGATGGCTCGTTTTATGGATTCTTATTCCTGAATCCAAAACATATCCACAGCTATCCAGCACTCATTTGCTTCCGTTGTAGTCCATTTGAGTGAATAGAGCCCCTCAGCGCCACTGCTGGCAAAATCAAAATGGCATGGGGCTGTGTGTGTCAAATGGGGTATGTTGAGTGTGCGCCCCAACCAACATATTTCTGGTGGAGCAGGGCCAGTTTACCCTCCTGGTCCTCTTCTGGAGCTGTGGTTCTCAAAGTGCGTTTTTCTCACCAGCAGCATCCGCACCACAGGAGAACTTGCCAGAGACGCACATCTATGCCCCCCTCATACACCCCAGATCTGCCGAACTTGTATCTCTGGGGAAGGAGCATGAGAAACTGTTTCAACACGCTCCCCTCATGGCTTTTTGGCACCTTAAGGTTTGAGAACCACTGCCCTAGAGAACCCTCAATCAGAAAACTGACTTCGAAAAAAACCTGATTAAACCTGCAAGCACAGAAATTTTCCCTACCTCACCACTGACTTGTCAGAATGCATCTAAGCAAGAAGAAATCAAGGCCTGCAGGGAGATTCTCTGGGGAAAAGGCCAGTGGGAGGTTGGAATGCCACCATGCCCTCCCCGCACCTGTGGGGAGGAACCTCAGGTTGCCAAAGCAGACTTCCCTATCCCTAGCCAAAGGTTATTTTTGCAATTTAGTGGTTGTTTTGTGACTTGCACAAATCTGGTAAATGAAAAAATAAGGGAAAAAAAAAAAAGGCAGGATGCATTATAATCTCACTCATGGGGTCTGTTTTCTTTGAATTTGCAGAGCCATAATGGAGCACAAGGAGCTGTTAAAGGTGCCCTGGGATTGGCAAATAGGTAAGAGCTTTGCTCACCTGTTTTTAGTAAACCTAAAAAAATCCTGTTTTTGGTAAACCTGAGGGATACGTTTGAAGAGTGATGTGGGTAGGTGTGAGGCAGGAACCATGAAAGGATTCAGAATGCAAAGGACAAAGGAAAATGAAATCCCTTGTCATTTTAGGAATTTGTGTACACGGTGTGAGACTAAATTGCATGATTTCTAATGTTTCCTAATTGAGCTTCTGCCCATTATCATCGTCAAGATGCCATTAGTGTATACACAGAAGTATGTTATTAGGTTAAAGATCAACCAGAAAGAAAAAATGCTCAGAGGCAGTGGTGGGACATAAATGACAGCAATTTTCTCTAGCCAAGGGACACAAAACTGATGTGATCATTAAAAAAGTGGCACTTTAGTAAAAGGGAGAGAAATGAACAAAAAGGCATAAAAGAAAACAATGTAATGGGCATTTTGAGCCCATAAAAACCTTTTCAGAAGGGAGCACTTTGCACATAAGAAACGGTTAATTGATCTCCCAAGTAGACTAGGTAGAAAATACCAGACACACTTCGAGCAAGTTAATGGTCATCCAGGGTATCTCAGATTCCACCTGTTCTGAAAATCACTTTTCTCTTTAAAAAAAAAAAAAAATTGGGACAAGGATTTAAGATCCTAGGTGATTGCTATAAAGATCACACAGCAAGCCCTGAAAGGTAATGGTATTTAAAACCTTCTACCTAGATACCCCTTCAGTGTCTATACCAAGATGCATGGTATGAGGCCAGTATGCCAGCAATGAGCACGGGGCGTGGCTTATAAGGGTGCTTGGAAAACACGCACTGTGAATGCGAGTGCGGGCTGAAGCCAGATTGCCTACACAGAAGGAGGCTGCTGGAGACCCCTCCAGCTTATGTGAGTTTTGATGAGATTGACGGCTTTAGTCAAATTCTGCTTCCACCAGCAGGGACAGCAATGACATAAGCTTCCCGGCACCGCCTTCCCTACCCCTGACCCGGGAGTATCCAAGGCCAGCTCGCTGCTAACATGATTCCCTCTGAAGGCACCCCGCCAGCTACAGAATCATGCATGACTCTCCCTGGGGGTTATCACTAGTGACTTCAAGGGCTGCCGGCTCTTGTGTCTGTCACAGAATCCTGCCATTTAGTTTCTTGTGTGTTTTGCTATAGAATGTTACCATTCAATGAAAATCACTAGAAGAGAGGGGGTGCGAAGAGGAGAGAGGGGCAGCGGGGAAAGCAAACCAGCTGCAGGTTACAGATGCATTTGCCTTTGGGACTCTCAGAGCCAGGAAACAAAATGTGACCCGTGCTTGGTACCACTTCACACGCAGTGGTATAAATTCATTTCATATTAATAGTCACGGCAGTGATCAAAAATAATTTGTCCTCTAATGATATGGATGTCATATGCATCTCCACTGAGGTTCTATTCTAGTTCAGTGTTAGTTAAATGTGGCATCCAAAGGTAGTTTTACTCTTAACTCTCCTGTTGTCATTAAACTGTCAGTCCCCTGTAGCCCACGCTGATAGAAGGTGGGATAAAAGGAATACATGATAGAACCATCACTTTAATTCCTGGTTGGAGATGAGGCTGAAATGGGCAAGAAAGATATTCATCGTTTTCTTTCCAAAACATCGATAGGGTTGGGTTTGAGATTTTTTTACACAAGGGCTGCCTCTGTCCTCATTACCTCATCCTGACCAACTACACAGTGTCATTCAGCTCAGTTCTGGGCACACAACGTTCAGTGAATAAATGTTTACTATAAATGAGTGAAGGGCAAGCAAAGGTGATAGGGCCTGTTCTGCCCCTCTCATCTTTCGAAATATAGAGAACAGGGGAGTGGTGGGGGGATAGCCGGAGGTCTAGGCTTGACTTCGCCCTCTCGTTCTGGGGAACTGGGAGATGGCATACTAGTTCTGGGGACCAAGAGGTAGGGAGATGTGGCAGGGCGAGGGGGTGGTGTGTGTGTCAGTGTCCTCTCTAGCATCCCTGCACTCCTTGGGAAGTCACCCAAGAGTGCTGAGCTCTGATCGCTGTCTCTGGTGGAAAGCTCACAGCATCTTAGGTAAGAGACCAAAATCCAAGACTTTTCATCTCCCACCATCTGTCAGAACATTTCTCTCCCTCCCCTATCTCCACATCAGCAATCCCCCTCACACGGTCTCTCGGACAGCTCATATAGTTGACATTTTATCAAAGTAAAAAGATTTTTTTCCTACAGAGCAAGTGGGATAATAAATGTATTTTATCTTTTCTGTACTTGGAAGGCACTTTTTAAAACAGATTCCATTATTTTCCTATAACATTTGCAAGATGCAGAGAATAATTCAAAGCAAGAAGACCACCTTAATTGTTGGTGCTTCATTTCTTTGTTTTACCCTACCCAACGGAGAGCCTGGGTCTGATTATGCAATCGTTAAATTCCAGTAAAATGTTCGACCTAACAGAGCTCAAATGTCCTGTGGAGCAGGTGTGTTCGAATCACCGTCAGAAATCTAGTAAATGGCTTCAACATTCCCTTTATCCCGTTTGCCATATTGTGTTAAAGGACTTGTGAGCAGATACCAACTGGTGTGAGAGCCAAACGTCAAAGGAAAGGAAAACTGAGCTGTGGGACAGAGAGCACAGGTTCGCTGTATGCAGGGGTCCCTTCTTGGCTCTTGTGGGTGATGCGTGTTTTGGTTTTGGTTTTGGTTTTCTCCTGGAGGCCGAAATAAGAGATTTGACCTTTTCCTGAAGATGGAGTAATGGGACCACGGAGCAGGAAGGAACTTAAAGATAATTAAGAACGTACCTTTTTTACCGAGGCTGAATCAGAGATCTGGGGAGGTGAGGCCACCGAGGAGGCCAAAGGCTGCCTGTGGGCGGGGGGATGGCGGTGGCGGGGAGCGCGGGGACCAACAGGGTTGTGCATTCTCTGAGCAAGCCCTGCCCACCTCGGGCACTTGCCTACTCAGCCTGATGCACTTGGGCTAAGAAGCCATCTTTAAGAATTAAAAAAAATGTTTTAAAATATCTAGTATACTCAAAGGAAAGTGAAAGACAGAACATCAGTGGGATCCCAAAGGGATGAGATAAAACATATTCAGCATACATGGGCGCATACTATATACATGTGTGTGTCATATCTATCGTATCTAAAGGTATGTCGTAAGTCATGCCTCATGTATTTATCATGTATGTATTATATATAAAATGAGGTGCTCATTAGAATCACATCAGATGCTCCATCGAAGCCCTGTTTCTCTTCCTACTAATTAAACAATATGGACTGGGGGTATATGCTTAGAATTGAAAGTCCGACAGCTTGTGTCCTGAGGGCAAGTTACTCAACCTCTGTATGCTGGTTTTCCTGTTTATCCACAGATCTGTTTCTGACCCTTCCTCTGCTGTGCTCTGCAGAGGCTGACTCATGCAAACTACACTTCCCAGGATGTACTGTTAAGTGGCTTCCAACTAGATTTGGCCAACGGGAGGCAGTAGGAGATCGGAGGGTGGGAGGAAGAAATAAATCAGGCTGTGTCTCCTTGTTTCCCTCCGTTCGGGGTCAGGTCTCTAGAAAAGGCTGAGTCCCGTCTGAGTGGTTGACTGTCCCTTTGCTGGGCTTTCCTACCTTCTGACCCCCCCCCCCCCAAACCGCCTCCTCCTTGGATCTCTCTAGCTCCAGGAGTGTGAATAACTTCCTGCTACTGCTAATCTCTGGGATGCCTCATCCCCCTTTTTCCCCCATCACCCTCTCAAGCACCTTTGTGACTTGTGCCCCATATTAAATGTCCTCTATTGAACCTGAAGTATGGACTGTTTCTTAACTGATACACTCTTTCAGCCTGTTTCCTTTCCTATATAAATAGGGTAACAATAGTAATGGTCTTTTCTACGGTTGTAGATATTCGTTAACGTATCTAAAGTACATGGCACGTAGCAAGCACACAATTGATATGAACCGATAGTATTCTTTCTCATTCCTTTGACTTAAATCTCTTTAGCGCATGAGGAAAACAGCTCCCGAACGCTGTCTTTTGTGAGAGAGAAAGCATGGCAAATAAGAAATGGCTATACACACACCTTGTCTGCAGTAGTTGTTGCAGCCATTAGAGAGCTGTCAGTCAAAAAATCACTCAGTTCGTTTGTTTGATCACGTTGATTGACAGTTGGAAAGCCCCGCACAGATAGTGCACTGGGTCTTCAGGTGTACTGCGCACATCCATGAGCCAGCTCGTGTCCCCCTCCAAGCAGCGTGTCAGCAAATTGCAGCAACCCAGCACACCTGCCTCGATCTGATCATGAGTCCCAGAGGCTGAGCACGCTCTGCTCTCAAAACAGGATGTTCTCACGCAAAAGCTTCCATTGACCTAGCAAAGTGGTGAGCTGGGATGGCGTAGATATTCCATCCCTGTCTCCCTAAATTTAATTTCTGCAGTTTTTAAAAAATAGGTTTAGAGAGTTTGAGCTTGAAGCACCCTGACATTGCCCGATGAGTAGAGGGAAACTCTGTCGTGGGTCTCTTTCGCTCTTCCATGGCTCACCAGCCATATGGCCACTTCTCTGAGCCCGCTAATTACATACCCAGCTCTTCGCTGGACAGATCATCTTGGTTGATGCATAAGCGTCTAAAACTAAAAGGAAGCTTTTTATTTCCCCTGAAAACCTGTCCGCTCCAGTTCTCTGCATCTTGGTAAATGGCACCATAATTCACACAGTTTCTAAACTAACTCATGAGATCCCTTGGGTATCCCTGATGGCCCCAGACTATCACCAGGGCTTGCTGAGTGTCCACAGACCCAGCCACTCTCCTTCACCTCCACTGCCGTCCTGAGCAGAGCTGCGAGCATCCCTTGCCTGGGCTAGGACACTGCACCTCTCGGTGGTCTGCCATGCTCTCTCCTGCCAGTCCTTTCTTAGCAGCAGGCAGAGCTCTCGTTTGAAGATGTGGATCCGGTGTTAGCCTTGTTACCAGCTCCTTAATGGCTTCCTATTACAACTAGAACAAGATGTCAATTTCCTTCCTAGACCTGCACGGCCCTGCGTAATCCATCCTCTGCCTAATTTTCCACCTTTGTCCCTTCCCACTGCCCCATTCTGTTCATTCTCCACAGATGTCCTGGCCCATGGCAGCTCCAAGAACACGTGGGGCCCTGTCATCAGAGTTTTTCATTTGCAGAGCTCTCTGCCTAAAATGTTCTTACCCTGGGTCCTCCCTGGCCATTTCCTTTCAGTCCTTCAGCATTCAAGGTAAATGCCACTTGCACAAAGAAGACTTAGCCAGTCCTTCTTCCTGAAGCAAGCCCCCTGCCATTCCCTAAAATGAACCCTTTGACCCCCGCCCCCCTTAGCACTAAAGCAGCTCTAAGCTTCTTACCCATTCTGTTTTCCATAGCTTTGCTAGACGAGGGTACAGTAAATACTCAATGAATACATGGTTGAATAATGAGTGAGTATAAAACATCAGATCCCACATGTGAGGTGGGATCAGTGCCAGGTAAGGTGTGCCAGGTAAGGTGATGGAAGGGTAGGATTCTGGAACTTTCTAGCTCAATCATATTTAATCTAAATCACTGATGCAATTTAAAAAGAAAAAAGGCGCTGGTACCTGGACTATGTTCTGACCAAGTTTGATTTTTGTGGACTTTTAGTAGGTTGGTTTAAGGATATAGCTTGTTCTTAGTCTTTTAATCCCAGATTTTTTTTGAAGGAATACTGCACTAATTTTATGTCTTTTCCTGTGTTGTTTATAAATTATTTAGTATTGCACTTTTAGTAACTTGGTTAAAAGGAAAATAAATTATAAGTAGCATGAAACCCAGTTACAGGAGAATTGACTGTTTTTAGGGTATTAAAGTTTGTGATGGAGAGTCAGAAGATATCTGATATTATTATGACAGAATATCCAGAAGAGGACTTGCACTTGACTGAGCTAGGAAAGTGGTTCTTCTAGTTTCCTCTTACGGCATTTCCACCACACTAGAGGGGGCTGTTGTACAGAGTTTGCTTTCTTAATGTTCAGAATAATCTTTTCATATAGATTTGCCATGGCTTTCCTTACACTGAGAATCCAAAATGTATAGGATGATGATTTATGCTCTTACATACTTCTCATATGGGAAACCAAATTTCTCTTCAGAGGAATTACTAGTCTTCATAGTCAAAGGGACTAAGTAGGTGTCCAGTATCTATGAAATCCTCCCCAATTCATAAGATTCAGATAAAGTGATCATCTCACAGCCCACACCAGACACATTTAATCAAGGATTCCTTTGGAAAGGTTGGATGCTTTAATTGCATTAAAATGCCCAAAGATCCACTGAATTATATTATTTATGCTTATTCTATGCTTTATTCTGTCAAGGTAGAGAATGAGCCTTACTTTTGTACATTTGTATTGTATCACCACCTAGTAAAAGGTGAACCAGATTCTGCATTTAGCCATGAACTCCTGCTTGGGACCCAACAAAATTGTGTACTTATGGAATTAGTATGAACAATTGTATATCTAGTTATAATGAGAGAGAATTTTAGAGGATGAGAGTCTGACCCTATAGCACTTTAAGGACTTTTTAAAAAAATCTTTCTGTTTTACAACACTTAACTCTCTGATAGTCTATGAAGCATTTAGTTAACGATGTCTAGAACAGCAGAGGCTACATGTGAGAACCCGCAGTGTGCTAGGGAAGGTGATGGGGAAGTAGGACTCTGTTTATTGGGGTGTAGGACTGAGCGGGATGCACAAATCTGGAAGAAATTCACAGGTCGTCTTGTGTTCAGAGAATGAAGTGGTCTGCCCAAGGCCACCCAATTAGGATTCCAGTTCTGACCTAGTCCACATCACTGTGACATACGAGCCCTTTGGTCTTGAGGACTATATAGTTATATATATATAGTTTTATATATATATATATATATTTTTCATCACCGTGAACAATACGTGGAACCCAGTAGTTCCCATTTTGCAAACAAAAAAGAGACTTAAAAAAAAATGCTTTAAAAGACATGGATAGGAAAAGTAGAGTACAGCACCATTGGAAACAATTAAGAAGGCTCAACCCCATATTCTGACTCTAGCCACTAGGAGGCACTCCTTCCCAGAAGAAGCAAAAGATCGGCTAATGTGGTGGGAAGCAGAAAGTTCATTTCCCACATGAAGATTTTTACTTTTTATTTTATGTTTTAGCGGCCTATTACCCAATAATAAAATCTACTAGCAGAGTGGAGTAAAACTCCCTGTGTCGTGGTAAACGGCTCGAGCCAGCCCCCTTCTCCCCCATGCTGGGGTCCTCAGAGGCCCCCAGAGGAGGCTGTCCGTCACCCCTCTTCCCTTTCCCCACAGGACTGCTCTACGTCGGCTTTAGCGCCTGCATGTTTGGCCTCTACAGCTTCATGCCAGTCGTCATAAAGAAGACCAGTGCCACTTCGGTCAACCTCTCCCTGCTCACAGCAGATTTGTACAGCCTGTTCTGCGGACTGTTTCTCTTCCACTACAAGGTAAGTTGAGCCAGTGCTCCCCAGTGAAGACAGTACTTGGTGGGAAATACCACATACAGGTGGAAATGCCCTGTGGTAGAAAGCCCCAATTTTCTGTAAGGAAGTAGGAGGGCAACTCTGTGCTCGCCAGCTCCTCCCCCCCCCCCCCCCCCAGGATCTGGATATTCACATTTCCACTGGGGCACAGAGGCAAGAGACCCGTAACTACAAGCACTTAAAAGGGAAAAAGATAAGGGAAGGGCTTTTGGATCATGGGAGACAGTTTTTTCTGATACCATTCAGCCTAGAAGATACTCTTTTTCCAGCCTAAAGCTAAGAAGATGGGCACAATTCCCAAACTAGAACCACAAAATGAATTCTAGCAAAGGCACTGGCAGGGCACATTCTCCTTGGAGCAATGATCTAGTGCCTGCAATTTCTGTTTTGCTATTTTCATAGCAAGCATGAATGGAAAATGCTAACACACTGGAAATACTCTTTCTTCACCGAAAGATTAGGGCTTGGAGTCAATGAATGCACAGCTCTTGTGAAGGATTTGCAGCTCAGATATCAGCCCAAGGAAAAGAAGGAAGTGTTCGTTCTAAAGATAGCAGTTTCTTCAAATGCAAGACGACCCACGCTCACCCACACCCACGGCAGGCAGACCTCATCCGTTAGGGCTCCCCGAAGTCAGATGCTGTCTTATAAACATGGCACTCACTTCAGACATTAACAATTGATTAGGATTGGTATAGGCGAAAGAGACCCAGTTCCCATTCCTTAGCTAGTCCTATTAGATAAGGGTCAGTGGGGACAATGACCAGGGTAAAAAAGGATGAATATGAAGTATCTAAACCAGGTAAGACCAAACTAGGACAAGGTAAAGCAGAGGCAGAAGAAAGAGAGATTACTCCAGCCACTTCCAGCCAAAGGCTTCACCAGTGATGTTACAGATAACACCACCAGCCCATGGGTGTGGCCAGCTGAAGGGGCCTTTTGGTGGGTGGGACATCTTCAACCAGGTCAACCCAGGTTTGGAGGTTCCCTGTACTTGAAATGACCCAAGGCAAAGCAGCAGAAGTGAGTAATTGGAAATATGACTGGATAAGCCAAAGTTATAGCCAACGACCAGACTCAGTAGGGCAGACAGGTGGAAAAGTTGTCACAAACAAGGTTAGCAGAGAGGACCAGAAGCAGATCTGGAAGACAAGAGGTGGAGAAAGTGGCCATGGCAGAGCACAGGATTAAAGTGCTAAGTCCCTGTTTTACAAGGAGCCCTGTGCCCAGTGTGGTGGCAAAAATGACAGCTGAAAGAAACTGTGTGGGACTGGACACCCTTTATACATCGTTTGTAATTGGTTTTGTCTAGATGGTCCCATCTCTGTCTCCTGAGCACATCCTGGTCTTCACGAGGGCAGGAAGTAGAGTCATAGCACATTCCCCCACTGCATGGCTGGGAGGAACAGCTTTCCCGAGAAGCCCCCAGCAACACACCCAACTATTTTCCAGAGCCCTGGTCTTACTGTGTGGCACATTGGCCGCCATTTTCCTTCTCTACTCTATGGTCAGGCATCCATAGCTAGCATAGAATCCAAGTGTGACTTGGATTCCCAGCACTGATTCCTGTGGTTGTTTTGAGAAGCTCCTGAATTAGACAGATCCCCTGAATTCTCCTTAAGGAAGGATGATTAAAAACTGTTGTTGTGACTGAGGACTGCAGGTTCTTCTGGGGCTGCCAAGATCCAGTCCAGCCCTCGGCATTCCTGAGAGTCTCCTTTCCCCAGGGGGACTGGCTCACTCTTCAGATCCACAGGCCACACCTCTGAGCCGCGGAACTGGGATCTGGGGATGTGTCTGGGGGAGTTTGCACTATCACTAGGCTCCCCTGTGAAGCCGATGTTCTCTGACAGCTAAGAGGGACACCTGAAGAGCGCCCATTCCTATTGGAGTGTCTCTCCTGGTGCTTGCACAGAATTCTGGTTAGACCTGGGGCTCTCCCCATCTTCCCCTCCCCCAGCCTTTGTGGGTTACTAAGTACTTAGGATAAGGGAGTTTGCTGAAGAGGAAGCCGTGAAGTAACCCTACATCATGCCATCAGAAGGGAGGCTGTGTCAGCTGAAGATTGAATGCTTGTGGTCATCAATTCAGAGATATCATGGCTATTTTTACTTCTTAAAGCAATGTTTCACTACGTACATATATTGTGTTGCTATCTAACAGACACATTTCTTTAATGCAATGATGGATTCAGTGCAGCAAGTATTTTATCTCATTGAAATTGATTCCTATTGTCTTTTTTAAAAATAAGCTTTTAAGATAATAATAGATACACGTGCAGTTTTCAGAAATAATACAAGGAGATCCCCATTTGCCCGTTACCTAGTTTCCCCCATTGGTATCATCTTGCAAAACTATAACATAACATCAGGATACAAACACCGAGGCCATGGGCACACAGAACGTATCCCCCTCACAAGGGCTCACATTGCCTTTCACAGCCAGACCTACTTGCCTCTCCCCCACCTCCATAATGCTGCAGAATCTCGTTTCTGTTCTCTGTTTCTCTAAATTTGTCACTTCAAGAATGGTATGTACAGTGTATAACCTTTTGGCTTTGACCTTTTTCACTCAGCATAATTAGAGATCCATACAGATTGTTTCCTATGTCAGGAGCCCATTCCTTTTTATTGCTGAGTGCTATTCCATAATATGGATATACCACAATTTATTTAACCATTTCAGTGCTTTGAAATAAACACCCAGGAGTCCACTTGCCAGGCATACGGTCGTAACATGTTTAGTTTTGTAAGAAACTGCCAGACTGTTTTCCAGAGTTGTCTATTGTCTTTTATTAGAAATACATATTCGTTGTGAGAAAGTCAGAAAATATAGATAGGTACTGTTATACATTGGTACAGTTTTATAGTATATACATTAATATTATGGTAACTAATATTACAGTATAGACAATGTTCTTCTCCTTTCCCTTTACTCTCAGTGTGCTTACAGTTGACTCCTTACCTCTTAGTTCTTGAATAAACACTGCCTTGTAGTGTTCTTTAATTCTTTTATGAACAATAGTATTTATTATCTGCAAAAAAATAAGTTAAATACTCAACTTAAATATAATAATAATAAACCCTTCCCCTATTTTCTTTTCTTTTTTTTTTTTTTAGATTTTATTTATTTGACAGACAGAGATCACAAATAGGCAGAGAGGCAGACAGAGAGACGGGGGTGGGGTGTGGGTGGGGGCCAGTGGCGCGGAAGCAGGCTCCCTGCTAAGCAGAGAGCCCAATGCAGGGCTAGATCCCAGGACCCTGGGATCATGACCCGAGCTGAAGGCAGAGGCTTTAACCCCCTGAGCCACCCAGGCGCCCCCCCACCACCTAGCCTATTTTCTGAAAGAATCTTCCAAGCACTGCTTGAATTTGTAGTCAAATAGTCTTTGTTTGGCAAATTCAGGATTTTCTTTTTCCTGGGATCCAGCTTGCCAGCCTCTGAAATTGCCCTTGGGCTTCCCAGAGATGGGAGGTGCTCTAGAGCTGGGGAGAAGGGTGGGTCTGAGTGGCTTATAGGTTTCCACTACAGCCAGATGGGCCATCTCAGAAAACTGATTTTTTTTTCTTTCTTTTTTTTTTTTTAAGATTTTATTTATTTATTTTGACACAGAGAGAGAGATCACAAGTAGGCAGAGAGGCAGGCAGAGAGAGGAGGAAGCAGGCTCACTGCTGAGCAGAGAGCCTGATGCGGGGCTGGATCCCAGGACCCTGAGATCATGACCTGAGCCTT